TGTGTATCTACTAATGAAGTAATTAACTATATGGTAGTGTCTTAACATATGAGGAAAGCATTCAAATTCAAATAGCCACTTGCATGAGAAATAAAGGAAAACATAAAGACAAAAAAAAGAATTCTAACAAGAATGAATCAAGAAATAATCGAGCTAAATTCTAACAGAATAGAGAAGCAGAACGTGAGCCACAATTCTCACATATATAAAAGATCCATGAATATGATGTGTGTTTTGCTAAAACAACAGTTCCTTTTACAACAAAAGTATATATTAAAGAAAAGGTAAGGTAAAGCGAAAAGTTTTCTATCAAACAACTAATTAAAATCACAACTTAAATGCAATTCCTCATTTACCTTAACTCCTTAACTCTCTATTTTCCTAATAATTCAACTGTTAATCTGTAATTGAAATAATCATGGTCCAAGCTTGTTTTCTTTTACGATTATTAACATCTCCGTCATTTTGTTTTTTTCTCTTTACAACCCTTGTCTCTAATTTTTTTTTTAAATTCATAGAATAAATTACAATTGAAAATACTAAATTTTATTAAAATATTGAAGTTAATTTCTTTTTCCTAAATTTCTATGTTCTTTAATTTTTATATGTTTCCTAAACAACTACTAAAATATCTACTAGTTTTATTTATTCTTTATTTTGTCCCTAAATTATACTATTTTATATTTTAATATAAGACTAAGGTTTCATTTACAATTATCCATTAGTTCAAAAATCATCAATTGAGTTATGCACAGTATAATAGTAAACAATATAGATAATATAGAAAAATAAACAAAAAATTAAAATGACTGTGAACTAACCAGTTCCGGCACCACTAGTGATATGTAATTATTTTTAGGGTTATCTAATTTTTTTTATAAAAATACACAATTATTAATTATTAAGGTTCAATTTGTCGTAACAAAGAAAAGGGTGAGGGATCCTTACCCGAATCAGTGTTTTGGGATGTCGCACTGTCTACTACGCTTTCTAATGGGTACTGAATTTCCTAAATTATCTATGTAAAATTCAAAACATTTGTCACATACCTAAAAATACTATAAAAAAATCAAAATCGGTATAAAAAATCCTTTCTGGCCAATTTTGGGATTTTGGTATGGCGGCACCGCCGTGCTCCGGTAATAGCACCACCACCCTCGGTAGCAATTTGTCTCAGGCTGGCCATTTTTGGTCGATTTTGGTTGGTTTTGGTTGGCTTTATACATATCCATGCGAAAAAACACATTAGGGGGGTCTCGATTGGTCGAAAAAAATCAGAAAACGAAAATCTACTGGTGGTGGAATTTTTTGGGTACGTCGGCTCTGCTGGCTGACCTTCGCGGCTAGGAGTTTTTCTTCGGTCAACTTGTAGAAAATAGAACGGTGAACATAACGGTGAAAAAATCGCACGAAACAGGAAACAGGAAGGAGCTCAGCGGAGGAGGTTCTGAGTTTTGCTTGCGGTGGTGCCGCTGTGCTTTGTCCGCGGTTTCTGGCTCACCCACTGTTCGTTTTTCTTCGATATGGCCACAGAGGTGCTCGGAATTGAATTCCGAGCGATTAGGAGAATTTTTATCTTTTTTGCCGGTCGGAGGTGGCTTTGGTGTAGCGGCGTTCGGCAGTCAGCTATATTCTCTAGCAGGAGGCTAGAGCTAGGGTTTAAGTTTAGTGTAATGCAAAATATTTATACCTATATCACTTTAATATTATCCGATCATCACGTTTGATCTCGACCGTTCTATCGCGCCTAAAGAAGAAATGAATCTAGACCGTTCATCATGTTTGATCTCAACCGTTCGATCGTGTTTAAGAGGAGAACAAATCGGGGTCGTCCATGCGCGTAAGATTGATTCTAGACCGTTCGATCGTGGAGCACGCGAATCGCCTACATGGCACCGACATCAGCATACTTTACCACGGGCCGTGCTCCGGTTCGTCGGAATTGCTGACTGGACGGTCATACGTTGTAAAATTTTTATTATTTATATTTTGACCCCTAATTTTTTATTTTTCTTTTAAAAATACCAACCAAACTCAAATTTTCACATATATTTCTCAAAATTGTTTTTAATTTCATCCATGACCCTTTTTTTTTATAAATTTAATAAAAATTAAAATAAATTAATTTAAAAATAAATTTTTTATGTATTTAAAATATTAAAAATTAATTTTTAACTAAATTTCGAATTCGAATATTATAACTAATATGAGGATTTGGGCTGGATCTTAACACATATTAATATTTTTTATTTATCTCCTTAAAAATACTTTCTTTTATTAAATTCTTAAAGTATAAAGTGTAACTTTGAAATAATTTTTTTACCATATATTTTAGTATTTTGAGTATATATTTTAATATTTTGATTGCAGATTCCTTTGGATATATAAATATATTTGTAAATTATGTGATGTATATAATAATTATAATAAAAACTAATTTATTAATTAAAATATATGGAAGTACAGAGCAATTTAAATTTATTATGGCGTATATATATATGTATATATTATTGAATATAAAGAAGTAACGGACTTACAATAATTTTTATTAATAATTCCACATTAAAAAATTTGTTATTAACTAAATAAATAATCAATAATGCAAGACGTAGACGTCATATTCGACGACAGCATTCCCCAGTTGAACATCAAACGAGTGCGTCTTCAACAGAGCAAACCCTCTGGCGAACCGGAAAACCCCACTGCCGCCGACGATCGGCAACTCCCTCACGCCGGAAAACACCGCGTTCCGACCCAGAATACTGATCGTACTCCCGTTGAACTTTCCCTCCGTGAAAACATAGTTGATCGTCATTAACAAGCTTAGCTCGCTCTGCGACGCGAACGCGAACATGCCTTGCGCTCTCCCTACCGTCTTCGACTTCACGTCCGGGCCGGCGGTCAAGAGGTCGTCGATGACGACGACGGATCCAAAGAACGACGATGAAGTGTTGGTGGTGGCCGCGCTCGCGACTTGGACGGCAGTAGGGTTTTCGCCGGTTAAAATGTCGTGGAGAAAGAAGTGGAGATGAGTGAGCTTTTCCTTCTTGAGCCCTAGCGATGATGGAGATACGGTCTTTGAGAAGGGCTTTGCAGAGGCGACGTTAATGGTGGTCAAGAAGAAGATAACAGAGAAGATAGGAAGAAAAGACCGGAGGACGGCGTTGGCCATGGTGATGATGATTGTGAGGAAGATAAGTTAAGCTAGATATGGTGAAGAAGAAACCTAGTAGAACAGATGATGGTGTTTATATTTTGAGATAGTTGTTCTAACCATGTGTATGTACATGTATATATATACATGTAAATGTAAGGGGTCGGGGGTGGCTATGTATTTTTATATAACGTGAGCGGGGTTCTGGGAAATGCATGTATTACATATGAAGTCTATATATATATATATATATATATATATATCTTATGAATATGAAATATATGGTCAAACTTCTCATCCTTCTCTAGAAAGCCAGTGCCAAAAGTTTGAATAATTGGCATTGCAGACCAGTTGAAATTTCTACAATTTTCATATTATTTATTTAAATCGGTATTAAATTGTGAAGAGAATTCTATTCTGAATTTTTTATTTTAATTAATTTTGTAATTTTGTAGTAATTATATTTTTAAATAATTATTACTTCTATCAATATTTATAAAAATATAAGTTAAATTTATTTATTGGGAATTTATATTATTTTCTGTATTAATTCTTTATAAAATTATATTATTATTACTAAATCATTAATAAAATATATTATTTTTTATTTAACGAAATTATGGATTATACGAAAATAAGTCGAAGTCAATTAGTTAATTAGAAATCAATTTTCAATTATCACGTAAATAATTGAAATACTAAAATTATTTAAAATCACATTCTGAATTATTGACTAAAGAAATGATCGTAGACTTTGACCATTTTGAGTTGACTTTCCATCACCTTCTTTGAAACCTCTTATTGAAGGAAATATTTTTTGCTATTAATATGTATTATTATCTACTTTTTAATTATATCACCTTTCGTGCATTTAATTGTCGCACGTTCTACTTTTAAATATATATATATGTATATATATTATTAACTACTTTTCAACAGGCTCTTTCTCCCCTCCATCCTTTCCGTCGATCTTGGCGGATCTCCGGCACTGCATTCAGCTTCCTTCTGCCATTTCTAATCTCTTATGTCTTGACTCCTCACAAAACCACCCAGAGAGATATATACTAGCTCAACACATCAGAACATCCCAAGGGAAATCAAAAGGTGTGTTTATATGTTTACGTTCGTATATAAGAATATCTGTATACGTTCCCGTCTATATGTGAATACATATATATATATATATAGTACAATAAAGTTACTCAGCGTCAGAAGAACGGCAAACCCAGATGACAAAGTGCATGGGAGAACAAGATGCGATTATCTATATTATTTCTGATATAGAAAGTGTAAGCGCAGGATACATCACGACAAGGATTATGATCGGAAACCAAACATGCCATAATGGAAAAACTCATTATCAAGATCAGTAATGAAAAACATAAACATTGTACTCAATAATGGCGTGCCCTGTATTCGAACCGGAAGTATAAGTCTTAGCCAGAGCATAACCTCTGGAATATCGAAAAATCCCACTTCCTCCGACGATCGGCATCTCTCTCACGCCGGGATGGATCACATTCCGACCCAAAAGACTCAGATTGCTGCCCTTGTACTTCCCTTTCGTGAACGCAAAGTTTACTACCATCGCAAAAGCGATCTCGCTCTGCGACGCGGCGGCAAAGAACCCCTCTGCTCTTCCGACGACGGTGGAGTTGATTTCCGGCGAGATGGTCAAAGGGTTATCGATCACCACAACTGCACCGAAAAATGTTGAGGATTTGTTGGTCATTGCGGCTTCTGCAACTCTGACGGCGGTGGCGTTTGGACCGGTGGCTATGTCGTGAAAGTAGAAGTGAAAGTGGGTTAACTTCTCTTTCTTAAAGCCGAGCTCCGATGGTGATAAGCGAGTAGAGAAGGTTTCAGGCTTTGCAGTAGCGGGAATGAGGAGTGAGAACAGGAGAATCATGAAAAAGATGGAGTCCATGGAAGCTTTGCAAGCTTACTCTTAATGTTGGGTTAAAATTCTAACGTTACGACAAAATCGATACTGAATTTTCTCTATCATCGCGTGTATACATGATATATATATATATATATACAAGAAAATGATAATTTAGTCCTTTTCTTTTCTGGGTTCTTTTTTTTTATGAGATTCGGCTACTGTCAATCTAGATCATGTTCGAGATTTTTAGGGTTGATGACAGATTCGAACGTGAGTTCTGTATTAATTTAAACCCTTATGGAATTTTTTTTTTTCAAATTAAATAAGAATGACAACTGTCAATTAGGTAGATCCCAAACTATTAATTAGTCAACTAAATTATTAAAATGAAATTATGTGTAAATATAATATTATAACGATTTATATACATACATATATATATATATATATTATACATCGATAAGTATAACTTATCACGTGCAAAATATATTATTAAGTCAATTACTATCCCAATTCACGTGGCAATAGAAAATGAAATAGTGAAGGAGAGTTGTGTTTATCTGTGGCATGGAAAAATTGTTGTATTGTTCCCATATGAACAAAGAAGGCACCTATCCACTGTGTGACTGCATGTAGGTTTTTTATTATTTTCATTTCCTGAACCAGTCGTTGTTTTTATTATTTACAGAATTCCCATAATTTCCATAAGTTTTTCTTGCTTGTTGTCCTCTAGTAGTGTACAGGATACTTGATTCATATTGATGAGAGGATGCCCCAGAGTTCATACTCTGTTTCAAACTATAAATCTCTTCCTGCAGGTCTGAAATTCTTATTAAGTCTCCTTATGCAAAGCGATCATCCAATTTCTCGTATGAATACATGTGCATATAAGAACATATGTATGTATGTGCGCGTACATGTATGAATATATATATATATAAATATATAGCATAAGAAGCAGCAAGGTACATCACAACAAAGATTATTATCGGGAACCAAACATGCCACAATGAAAAAACTATTGAGCAAGAACAGAAACGTCCAGACGTACGATCAGTAATGAAAAACATAAACATTGTACTCAACAATGGAGTTCCGTGTTTTTAGATCGGAAGTATAAGTCTTCGCCTGAGCATAACCTCTGGCGAATCGGAAAACCCCACTTCCTCCGACGATCGGCATCTCTCTCACGCCGGAACGGATCGCATTTCCGACCCAAAAGACTGAGATTGCTGCCTTTATACTTCCCTTCCGTGAACGCAAAATTTATTACCATCGAATACGCAATCTCGCTCTGCGACGCGCCGACATAAATCCCCTGTGCTCTTCCGACGACGGTAGAGTTGACTTCAGGGGAGACGGTCAAAGGGTCGTCGATCACCATAACTAAGCCGAAACGGGTTGAGGATTTGTTGGTCACTGCGGCCTCTGCAACTCGGACGGCAGTAGGGTTTGGACCGGTGACTGTGTCGTGAAAGTAGAAGTGCAGGTGGGTTAACTTCTCTGTCTTGAGGCCGAGCTCCAATGGTGATAAGCGAGTTGAGAAGGTTTCAGATTTTGCACTAGTGGGGATGAGGAGTGGGAACAGGAGAATCATGAACAAGACGGAGTCCATGGAAGCCTTCCAGGCTTAATTTTACTCTTCCGGGTGAAAATTCTAACGTTACGACAAAATAGATACTGAATTTTTTTCTATCATTGTGTATGCACACGATATATATATATATATAGATACAGAGAAATGATTGTTTAGCCTTTTTCTTTTCTGGGTTCGTTTTTTTGAATGAGATTTGGCAATTGTAACTTAATATCATCTTTGAGATTCTTAGGGTCGATGACAGATTTGAACATGGGTTAGGTGTTAATTGAAGCCTTATGGATTATATATATATATATATTTTTAAAATAAATAAATAAATAAATAAGAATGACAAACTGTAATTAGGTAAACCCACGTTGTCAATTAGTCAACCATATTATTATAATTAAATAATGATTTACATATACATACATATATATATATATTTTTTATTATCTCTCTAGAATTTTAAAACCAAACTTTGATATTATTTTATTATAAATAAATGAAAGAAGTAAAAAAAAACTAATAGAAAGAATCAAAATTTTAATTGTAGTTATTGATATAAGCACTAATACGATTTTTATTTATAATAACTATAATTTATAAACAACAATTACTTACAATAACTCTAATTTATAAACTACGACCTACAAAATTAAAAGATATATATTTATATATCTCAATCTAAACTTCTAAATTATTATTTGTAAGAGAGCTCTCAAAATAAACTAAAATAAAAATTTTTGAAAATTATGTATGTATGTATAGCGTAAGAAGCAATAAGTAACATAAAAAAGACAAGGATTAATACTAATTTTATTTTATTATATAATGTATTAAAACTTCAACTTCATCTCGCTATTAATTAGAAATCTCGAGTTCTCTCAAACTAAAAATAAAAATAAAAATCTCCGAATATCATGTTTAGCTGTATGTATATACATACGCGTGCGCATATATATATATATATATATGTATAGCATCAATAATGAAAAACGTAGACGTTGTACTCAACGACGGCGTTGCCGGTTTTCAGATCGAAAGAGTAAGTCTTGGCCTTTGCGTATCCTCTGGCAAATCGGAAAAGCCCGCTTCCGCCGACGATCGGAAACTCTCTGACGCCGGAAAGCACCGCGTTCCGCCCCAAAACGCTCAGATTACTCCCATTGTACTTCCCTTCCGTGAACGCAAAGTTCAGAACCATCAACAACCCAATTTCGCTCTGCGACGCGGACGAGTAAATCCCCTGAGCTTTTCCGATCACCGTCGAGTTGACTTCGGGTCCGACGGTCAACGGGTCGTCAATCACGAACACGGAACCGAATAATGTTGAGGATTTGTTCGTCACGGTCGCCTCTGCAACTCGGACGGCCGTGGGGTTTGGGCCGCTGAGAATGTCGTGGAAGAAGAAGTGAAGTTTGGTTAGCTTCTGTTTTTTGAGGCCGAGCTTTGATGGAGATAAGCGAGTAGAGAAGGTCTCATGATTTGCGGAGGAAATGTCCGAGGAGAGGAGGATGGTGAAGAGAATCACGATGAGGAAAACGGTGACGCTTTGAAGGATTTTGGCCATGGTGGAAGAATACAGAACAGAGGAGGAAATAGTAATACTTCAGAAGATGTAGAACAGAGGGATGAAATTTGCTGTAGTTCTGTATATGCATACATATATATATATATATATAGATATGAAGGCCTGTGATATAATATTAATTTTTAGTATATATATTTGTTTCATGAGATCAACAACTAAAACATACAACTCAACTGAATTGAGTTAAATAGAAAATTGTTTGATTGTTTATTTAATGTTTACGAACAGAATTATTACGTTTCAATATTTGTTTTAAGTAATATAAAAAGATAATAAATTATGAAAATATCAAAAATATATGTTTTTGTTCTACTTATTTTTACAATATTCGGGATATTTTTGTTTATTTTTTGTTAATAATTATACATAAACTAGTTTCTCATAATACCTTTATAATACATATTTGTTTTTAATTTACTTAAAAATTATAATTCTACACATATTTTTTTTATAAATAAATACATCTAGATACATATTTGTAATATTTTGATATTTTGATTACATATGCGTTATTTTGAATATATTTGTAATATTCTGAGTATGCTTATGTTATTTCGAGTGTATTTGTGATATTTCAAATTTATAAGTTATATTCGAACATAAAATACGTGAAATGACCTCGATAAATTTAGGTAATTAGAAAGTAGACACCCAAATTTTAAAGAAATTAAAAAAAGATAGTAATTTAGATGCTATTGGGAGTAGAATGCATGAAAGCACATTTGTACTAATTACAGTTTATATATAGATAAACTTGTTAAATGATGTTTATTGAGTGCATGCAGAGTTCATGATTTAGTACAATTAGAGACTCTGTAACTTTGTTTAAATCAAATGGTTTTCACATCACAACAACAAGGATTATTATCAGAAACCAAACATGCCGTAATGAAAATACTGAAGAGCAAGAACAGAAAAGTCCAGACCTGCTATCCGTAATGAAAAACATAGACATTGTACTCAACAATGGCGTCCCCTGTTTTCGGATCGGCAGTGTAAGTCTTCGCCCGAGCATAACCTCTGGCAAATCGGAAAACCCCACTTCCTCCGACGATCGGCATCTCTCTCACGCCTGAACCCACCGCGTTCCGACCCAAAAGACTCAGATTGCTGCCCTTGAACCTCCCTACCGTGAACGCAAAGTTTATTACCATCGAAAACGCAATCTCGCTCTGCGACGCGCCGGCATAAATCCCTTGTGCTCTTCCGACGACGGTGGAGTTGATTTCGGGCGAGACGGTCAAAGGGTCGTCGATCACCGCAACTAAGCCGAAAAGGGTTGAGGATTTGTTGGTTACTGCGGCCTCTGCAACTCGGACGGCGGTGGGGTTTGGACCGGTGACTATGTCGTGAAAGTAGAAGTGGAGGTGAGTTAACTTCTCTCTCTTGAGGCCGAGCTCCAACGGTGATAAGCGAGTAGAGAAGGTTTCAGATTTTGCAGTGACGGGAATGAGGAGCGGGAACAGGAGAATCATGAAGAAGGTGGACTCCATGGAAGCTTTCCAGGCTTACTCTTAATCTGAAAAATCCTAACTTTACGACAAAAAGATATTGAATTTTTTTCTATCCTCGTGTGTATATACATGATATATATACGTAGATATATAGAGAAATGATAATTTATTCTTTTTCTTTTTCTGGGTTCGTTCTTCATTGAGATTCCAACATGGGTTAGGTGTTAATTTAACCCTTTATGATTATATTTTTTTTAAAAAATATAAATTAAATAAGAATGACAATCTGTCAATTAGGTAGACCAAAGTTATAGATTAGTCAACCAAATTATTATAATGAAACTGTGTAAATATAATATTATATATATACATATATGTAATTTATATAGGTAAGTATAACTTATGACGTGCAAAATATGTTACTAAGTCAATTATTGACCTTTAAGAACTTTGAAAAAAGAAAAACACACATATATATATTTATATTTTTATAAAATATATATTCTAATTATATTAGTTGATGTTCATCAATTTTAACTTATTTTTGTACTCTAATATCCGAATTCAGAATTTAGCTCAGAATTAATTTTTACATTCAAAAATATGTATAAAATTGGATTATGAAATTAATAAATTTATTTAATGTGAATTATAGAAAAAAAATAGTTTAAGTACGAAGTTGAAAATAATTTTAAAAAAAATGGGTGAAATTTAGGTTTGGATTGTGTTTTTGAAAGAAAAAATCGAAATTAGGAGTCAGAATTCAATTTTGAAAAATTATGCCACATAGGATCACCCAGTCAGCAGTCTCGACAAACCAAAGCGCGCTGCGTGGTAAGGCGTGTTGACTCGGTGCGATCGGATGGCCGGAAGTGTTCCCGTACAAGTGGACGGTCTGAATCCGTTCCCTCCTTGAACGCGATCGACAATCCAAATTCGTTCCCTCTTTAAAACTGATCGTACGGTCAAGATCAAATTGCGATGAACGGTCCATTTTTTTTTTTAAACACGATCGGACGATCGAGATCAAATGTAATGAACGGTCTAGATTGACGCGAGACGACTATAAAATATGTCGTATCATACCGAACCCAAACCCTAATCTCCAGCCTCTCGCCAGAGAAGAAGAATAAATCACCGGAGAATGGAGCCCACCGTCATCCGCTGCCGTGCCGGAGCCACCTCCGACTGCCAAAAAAGGTAGAAAAATCCTTCTATCCGCTCGAAATTTTATTCTAAATACCCTTATGACCAAATCAGAGTAAAAGGAATAACGGATGAATCGAAAATTGCGAGTAAAACTCGAAACCTCCTCCGATGAGCACCGTCCCAATTCTCGTTTTATGCAATTTTTTTACCATTGTGATCACTGTTCTATTTTCTATAAGTTGATCGAAGAAAAACACTTAGCCGTGAAGGTGAGCCGGCAGAGTTATTGCACTGAAAAATTTCATCGCTTATAGGTTTTTATTTTTTGACTTTTTTCGACCAACTGAGACTCACTAACGTAATTTCTCATAGGGATGAATATAAAATCAGATAAAATTGGTCGAAAATAGCTAGACTGAAGCAAACCACTGCCATGGATGGTGGTGCCATCCCGGAGCACGATGGTGCTGCCGTGTCGGAATCCTGAAATTGGCCAAAAAAATATTTTTAACACCGATTTTGAATTTTTGGAGTATTTTTAGGTACGTAAAGCTTGTTTTAATCTCTGTAGGAAAATTCAAAAAATTCAAGAACCGCCAGTAGACGCAGTAGAAGTTTAGTATTTTAGACACCGATTCGGATAAGACTCCCTTACCTTATTCTTTGTTATGGAATTAAAGTTTAATTATAAATAATACGTTATTTTGTGTAATTTAGAAAATTTTAAAAATTAATTACAGGTTATTAATGAAGTCGGAACTAGTTATTTATTATTGTTTGTCATGTTTTAACTTATTGTTTAATTTTATAGTTTTAAATGCATGATAATATATTGGAATATATAAGATGATTCAATTGTGTTAACTTCACGCATGTATCGCTTGTCTTACGTGATTTACGGTTAAATTGTGAAACTAAAAATTAAAATGTAAATGAAAATTTATTGGTTAAGTGAATAAGTGAATGTTACTGGATATTCTGGGAGATGGTGAATATACTGTGTACATAGAAAATCTTACCGTGAATATTACCTCATACCGAACAGGGTATCGAGAAATGGTATTTTTGGTGTTCATACCGAACTGAATATAGGGACAACCCGATTCACCCTCATACCAGACGAGGTATTGAGGGATGGTACTTTTGGCGTTCATACCAGACAGATATGGGAACGATCCGATTCACTATCATACTAGACGTGGTATTTAAGGACCAACTTTTGACACTTATACCGAACGGGGTATGGGGAAAGCAGGTTAGTTGACAAGATTTGATATGGGTTCACGCATGGTAGAACATCCCTATAGACTCCCAAAGATACTGGTAATCAAATAAAAATGGAAAGTTATTGTTCTGACAACTTGAATATAAGATTATAATATGTTAAAATTTATTGAAATTTTAAAATTATTGTATGACAAAAATATATTTCTCTGTCAATTGGAGATACCAGATTAGCAATGTACCAGAAATTAAGGAAAATCACTTTTATGTTATAAATCATACTTACATGACCCCAAAAATCTATTGCATGTTTTACATTTACGTAGGGATTAATTCATTTATTAACCACTAATTTTACAAGATTGTGTATTCAATTTTTTAGATTTTCCATATAATGATTGAGAATAAAAATTTATAAACATATATATATATATATATGTATGTGTGTGTGTGTGTGTATAGCATCAGTAATGAAAAACGTATACGTTGTACTCAACAACGGCGTTTCCAGTTTTCAAATCGATAGAATAAGTCTTGGCCTTTGCGTATCCTCTGGCAAATCGGAAAAGCCCGCTTCCGCCGACGATCGGAAACTCTCTGACGCCGGAAAACACCGCGTTGCGTCCCAAAACGCTCAGATTGCTCCCATTGTACTTCCCTTCCATGAACGCAAAGTTCAGAACCATCAACAACCCAACTTCACTCTGCGACGCGGACGAGTAAATCCCCTGAGCTTTTCCGATCATCGTCGAGTTGACTTCGGGTCCGACGGTCAACGGGTCGTCAATCACGAACACGGAACCGAATAATGTTGAGGATTTATTCGTCACGGCTGCCTCTGCAACTCGGACGGCCGTAGGGTTTGGGCCGCTGAGAATGTCGTGGAAGAAGAAGTGAAGTTTGGTTAGCTTCTGTTTTTTGAGGCCGAGCTTTGATGGAGATAAGCGAGTAGAGAAGGTCTCATGATTTGCAGAGGAAATGTCTGAGGAGATGAGGATGGTGAAGAGAATCACGATGAGGAAAACGGTGACGCTTTGAAGGATTTTGGCCATGGTGGAGAGGAGGAAATAGTAATACTTCAGAAGATGCAGAACAGAGAGATGGAATTTGCTGTAGTTCTGTATATACGCACATATATATATATATATATATAGATATGAAGGCCTGTGATATAATATTAATTTTTAGTATATATGTTTGTTTCACGAGATCAACGGTAAAAACATACAACTCAACTGAATGGAGTTAAATAGAAAATTGTTTGATTGTTTATTTAATGTTTACGAACAGAATTATTACGTTTCAATATTTGTTTTAAGTAATATAAAAAGATAAAAAATTATAAAAATATCAAAAATATAAAAAATATATAAAAGTAGGTAATCATTTATTCTTTTAATAGAAATTTAATTATTTTGAGTATGTAATGCCCAAAATTAATTTATATGTAAATTAAATTAATTTATAAATATAATTTTTTAATTCTTTAATTTTTAATTTTAATTTCATATAAAAAAAAAATTGATAGAGTATGAAATTAGAAACAATTTTATTGAAAAAGAGTAAAAATTTAGATTTTGTGAGTATTTTTGAAAGAAAAATAAAAAATTAAGGGTTAAAATATAATTTAAGAAAGTTGTACCACGTACGATGCCCGTTCAGCAGCCCTGACGAACCAGGACGCGCTGCTTGGCAACGGACGCTGACGCGGTGTCACGCAGACGATCCGCGTGTCCGTGATCGAACAATCCAGATCTGTTCCTGCGCGTATGAATGACCCAGATGCGTTCTTTCCCCAAACGCGATCGGATGGTCAGATTTAAACGCGATCAACGGTCCAAATCTACATCTTATTTAAATACGATCGGACGGTTCAGATTAGGTCACGATGGACGGCCCAAATTAAATGAGGACGGACATAAATAACTCTATTCACAGTAAACCTTAACCCTAGCCACCGACACCATCGCTGGAGAAGAAGACCCAGCTGCCGGGAAGGAGAACCGCTGCCACTCCCCGCTGCGCCAGAGCTACTTCTGACTGCTAAAAGAGGTAAAAAAATTTTTCTTTGCTCGGAATTCAATTTTAAACATACTCATTGCCAAATCGAAATAAAAGGATCGGCCGAAAACTACAGACAAAGCCTGGCGGTGCCGCTGCGAAAAATTTCAAAAATTGTCTCCGATGAGTCCCTTCTCGATTCCCGTTATGTGTAATTTTTTCACTATTTTGATCACTGTTTCCTTATCTACAGGTCGACCGAAGTAAAGCACTCGACTGCAAAGTGAGCCAGCGGAGCTGCCGCACCGAAGAGACCCGTCACCGACAAGTTTCGATTTTTCATTTTTTTTGGGCTAACCAAAGCCCCTTAACGTATTTTTTCGCTAAAATTGTTGCAAAATTGGCTGAAAATAACGAACCCGAGGCGGACTGCCGCTGCCAGAGCACGGCGACTCAGAATTGGCCAAAAATGGGTCTTGAGACTTATTTTGGATTTTTGGGATATTTGTAGGTATTTACAGCGCGTTTTAGTTTCTGAAGAAAAAATCAGAAAACCAGGGCACTGCCAGTAGGTACAGTCAACAGCTTAACTTTTCGGACATCAAATTGAGTAAGAATCCATCACTTTATTCTCTGTTACGAAATTAAAGTCAAATTAATAATAATACATTATTTTGTGCAATTTAAAAAATATTCATAATTAATTACGGATTAGTAATGGAGTCAGAATCAGAAACTATTCACTGTTGATTCTATTAATTTATTTTATAGTTTAAATGCATGATAGTATTTGATTGATCGATTTTATAGTTTTGAATGCATGTTTTGTTTATTTGTACGGTTATAGTTGAATTGGGAAACTAGAGGTTAAAGGTAAACGAAAAATTGTGCAATTAAGTAAATGGACGAAACAACAACCTTATTGGATATCCTGAGAGATGGTGAACGGACGAGATCCATTAGGAATTCTACCGTGAACGTTGTCTCATATCGGACGGGGTATCGAGACTTGGTAATTTGATGCTCATACCGGACGGGGTATTGAGATTTAGTAATTTGGTGTTCATGCAAAACGGGGTATGGAGACAATCCGTTAATTGAAAATGTTAAAAGAAATAGTTCGCACGTAATGGAGACATTCCTATGGACCCCATAGATATCAGCAGGCTGATGAAAAAAGACAATTGTTATTTTGATTTATTGAATATGGAATTATAATATGTGCATGTTATCGATTGAATATGGAACCATGATAAGTGATATGTTATTGTCTCTATAGGTTGTTTTTGTAAATATTAACACGGTAAGTGGACGGTAAATGATTTTATTATTGATAAATGAATTTGCTTAATTAAGTACTCAATTAGTTATTTTTTATTTTTCTATCAACCTTTATTTCTATGTCGGTGAGTAGCGTAATATTCTTATTGGGTTAATGTAACTCATTTCTTATTTAACCATTTCAGATCAAGAGAATCAGGATTCAGAGCCCGATCCACAAGAAGGTTGCAAGTAGGATTCAATTTTTATTTATTTTGTGCTTATTTTCTTATTTCTTATATTTCTTTCAAAATGGTAATTCTCGTAACACTATTCGTTATTTTAAATTATTATGTAAAAAATATAAACCTTAACTAATCATTTCGCTTTCGTACTTAATTTTATAATTTATTTCTTTTGAAATTCTGAGACTATTATAGAATAACTTAAAATATTATATATATTATTGTAAACACAATTTTTTCAATAGTTCTAAATTATTTTTTAACTAATACTCTAATTATAGTTCTTAAAATAATAGAGGATTAATTATGTTTTTGTTCTAAGTCCAATACTTATTTTTACAATATTCGAGATATTTTTGTTTATTTTTGGCCACCGACTACTTCGTGGAAGAAGAAGTGAAGATGGGTCGGTTTCTCGATCTTCAGCCGTAGAGTAGACCTGCG